TCAAGATCGGGTGAGCAATCTGTCTTTATAATACATTTCCATACTTGGCTCTTAGTAGATCCAAATCCACAATTCCCTTCCATCTAATTTTTCAAGAGTGTGCACGTGGTTGCGATGAAGTAGGTGGTAAAAGAGAGTCATGAAACTGAAGTCCTGTTATGGTGTTTTTTCACAAGTATAGCATTATAGCACATTAAATTGCTGCAGCTCTCAAGTTATCTGAGACCTCCTAGAAGTGAAGGTGATGTTTTATCCTTATTCCTTTGAATGATGCTTTCATTGGCCAGTTGTTCAACATCCTACCAAAGCTGTCAGACACTTGGCATTTTTTTCTTAATGTTAACATGGCTTTTCTAATCACTTCTGTCCCCCAGTCCTTTGCTAACTGAGGCTGATGTCATTTGATCTCTCTCACAAAAGAACTTGAGATTGAGACTGTTATTGTGCATTGCTGCAGAGAACAGAGTACTAGGGGAAGAGTTTGTGCAGTCACAACAAAAAATGCTTTGAGGCTCTTCCCAAAAGTTAACCACCGTTTGGATGAATGAGTACTTGTTGAAAATGAGAATGTTCCTTACAGGCAACCCTCTGCATCTCATGATTTTTATTAATTGTTGTGAACATGGGCAGTTTGTTGTTGTTTATGTTTATAAAGGATTCAAATGGAGGTTACACTTTTTGTAATAGATGAAGAAGTTCTTATCCATGGTGAATAAGAACCCAACAGGATTTGTTCACTTTATCTATCTATTTATCTATCTATCTATCTATCTATTTTAAACACAAATTCTCTGTATGTAACATTTTTTCCCCACTTACTTTGCTTGGAAACTCAGGAGAAAAATTCTGTTACATATAACAGACTGACAGCTGACTACAAAAGGAAAACCAGATGGCAGCACAACAGAAGCACCAGATGTACGTTTCTCCATCTTTTGTGTGGATGGAGACATCTCAGAATGCTGATTTCTAATATTATTTACAGAAGAGTACCCTGCTCACTTATCACTCCCCATGTTTCAAAATGGAGAACTTTTCTCTGATGCTTAAGTAAACGTGTGCCTGCCAGTATAAAAAAGTTGTGTAAAGGTCACAGACAAACATCCCTGCTATGGGCAGTTATGTTCCAAAATTAAGGTGCCCAGACAAGCACCTGGAGTTAATCTATGAGCAACTTCAATTAAGTGCTTTGTATTGCAGATGCTCATTCTGTGAGAGAGATTAAGGCTTTATGTTATGGGGAGGGCAGGCGAATGTTGCTGGAATGAGGACTGCATAGGAGGAAGAGGATGTTTACATTTTCCCTGTATTCTCTTAACAGCTTTCAATGAAGAAATTTAAACATGCAACTCTTAGACCACTTTATTTCAAGTCCAGCTTACCGAGGTTTGTTTAATATCTTGCTAAAGTAGTTCATTTCCAGCTCAGTTGGAACTTCAGATCTTTTGTTCTGAAATCACTTTCTTAAGCTTCTGTTAGATTTTTATTATTATTATTATTTTTGTCTAAAGACAAGTACACAGTGCATTTCTTCAGTGGAGATTGTCCCTGCACTGAGATCAGTGTAACCGGGAGTTGAGTGCTTTATAAAATAACATTTAAATTCTTGACAGTAAAGACTGGCACGGTTTGAAACATTATAAACAGAAAATCCTGGAAATCTGAATCGTGTGCCAGGTGCACACAAATAATTCCAATTTTATTTTTGAAGAAGAGTTGGTGTTTTGGCAACATTCTACAGTGCCAGTCCCAGTGAAATGTTCATTTCAGATTCTTACCCTTAGGCTCAAGTTTCACCAAGGTACACACCTGTGAATTTCTAGGTGGAGGGCTTAGATGCTGTTGTGAGGTTTGGAAGAAGAATGTGACTAGGAGTGTTAGGAAACTAATTACACCTTGAAAGCAGCACTATATAGCTGACTTTCCTTTATTTTGTTATATGCTCTGAACTGAAATAAAAAGGCACCTTCTGAATGATGTTTCATCCAAAGATGGCATTATCTGAAAGATAAGACTAAAGTTTGGAAATAGTTATGAAAATACATCACTTTTTCAATTGACAATATATTACAGTAACAGGATCAGATTTTGGATGAGAGGCTAGATTGAAAAAGGCTAGCAGCAGTTCTAAGTTAAATTTGTCCTGCAAACCTTGACACCAGTCTTCTGTTTTTTGCTTCATAAATTATCCATGAAACATAGAACTCCAAGGATGCACATTTTAAGTGAGCTCCTCCAATGGCCCTGCTTCTCATGCAAACAGATGTAAATCAGAAGTAGTAGTTGTGAAGCCTATGAAACACAGTGTAGAAAGTTAGGATGCAAGTATCAAAGATTTTTCCTAGTGCTGTTAATTTGTTCTGCCTTTTCCTTTCCTGTTTAGAAAGGTACTTCTGGAGATAAAGCACATAAAATTGCATTGGCTTTACCACATCAAACTCAGCCTGGTTTTACTTTACTAATGTCAGTGTAGCTGTGGCAGTGGCAGTGAAATACTTAACTTCAAGTTGATGAGTTATAAACAAACTTACTTTCTTCTGGAAAAAATCCACTTTGCTTATGGGGGCTAACTTTCATCCAGGTGCTCATTCTACTGCCAGGCATAGGATCTTCTCTAAAGTCTCCTGATGACCTCCACTGCTTTGAGGGCAACATATCCTCTGAGGTGCAAGCCAGGCTGTGCCTCTTCTCCCCTCATACCAAGCATCTGCACAGCCTTGTTATGTCCTTTGCAACCAGGTGCTTTTTTCACTGCCTTAGACATCATTTTGAGAAAGGTGTTCAGTTATTTCTTCTGTGTGAGATTCCTGAGTAGAAAGCAAACGAAGCTTTGTTGTTGTGATGCAAAGAGAATGCTGTCTGTTTGCTGTGAAAGTGAAAGCTCAGACGCATCTCTAGAAAGGGTTGAACTTGAACCTTACTCAGAGCATATCCACCAGCACTAACTCTGCCTGCTGCACAGTCAGTAGTGTAACACTAGGAAAAAGAAGAATGAGAGAAGAACAAAGATCATTTCCTATGTCTGTAGGGGTAAATGTTATCGTTGGATGGACTGCAAGCTCATCTAAAATACAATGGAAAAAAAAAAAGTTAAATGAAATCAGATCACTGTTTACACCTTCTTTGGAAAGAACAAGAACTATACCTATATTCCCAAAAAATTGTGGTCCTTTCCTCAGCTGCAAGGCCTACTACAGAGTGAAATTCTCCTATGAATGAGCTGGAGGGGTAGGAGAGCTCCCAGCTCATCCTAAATACTGAACAGTGACTATCCCAGGCCAACCCTGTGCTAAGCATTGCTCTAGAAGTTGAGCAGTGTAGATGGCCGGACTACAGTGACCACAAACAGATACTGTTGGAAGTATCAAGATGTGGCCTCAGCACATTTAATGACATGTTGCACTGACACACCTAAAGTGAAAGCAGACTCTTCTGTTGCTTTGATGTCTAAGAAAAAGAGGAACCAAAACAAAGTCCTATTTTTAACAAAGCTGTGCTTCTGGAGCAAGTAGCACTTAAACTCTGAAGTCAGCCAGAATAAATGAATTTACCCAGCACCTGATCTGATACAAGGAAAGTACAGCTAGATCAGGCTTTTTCTTGGAATGAATGAAGGAGGCAAAGAGGGCCTGAATGTGATATAGATAACTTAATTGCAAAAAAAAGCAGTTTGCTTATCTGTGATCTGTGAATTCGAGACTCACTTCCTGTAGTCTCTAAAAATCCACAGTGCCTGCAGTCATCACTACTGTGTCTTAGCTAAGTGCTCAGGGAAAGCAAATATAGCCAAGGTAGAATTCTGAAGAATGTGTTCATAGTATTATTCATGCTCTAAATTAGATCAGGAACTGTGGCTTAAATAGATCACCTGATGTTAAGTAAAATACTGAATCATAATTAGCGAGGAAAATTAAGGCTGGTGGCTAAGCCATCTACCACTCATACACAAATCTGATTAGGCTCAAACATATGCACCAACAATTGGCAGTATGCTATTTGCTGAGCACACGCAAAATGATTTCCCACAGCAGCCAGTAACAAACTTAAATATTTTGATATTTTCCTAATGCTCTTTGGAGAACAATCCGTTTTTATAACGGCACATTGTCCAGAGCAGCAGTATTATAAATCACAGTGGGGTTGCCAGGTACCACTCCTACACAAACGCATACCGGGCAAAGTTTTAGGGAGTATCACTTAGTGAGGTGACAAGTGACGGCCTACACGTGAGCCACACAGCCTGATTTCTGGGGGATACGTCACATCAGACTGGAGAGGTTGGGTGGAAACAAGGAATGCTTTGACTACGGTACTTGATACAGTGAAAGACCAGGGTAGGGGCGCGTTCCCTAGCGCCAGTCCTGGGCACCCTTTGCCTCCAGTCAGGCCTCCATCTTTGCCCCCTGCATCGTAACCCATCAGCGCCTTTCTTCCCACCGCAGCTGCAAAGAGACAAACCTACGGCCTGAGGGGAGCAGTGGCTGTTTCCTTGGAGCTGCCTGCGGCGGGGCAGCAGCGGATGCAGCCTGCAGTGTAGCTGAAGGGGGGGCTGCCGCACACAGGGTGCGTAAGCTGAGAAAGAGCTTATGGGAATGAGATTATGCTGCTGCTCCTTCGGGGGCGTTGTGGGGATTATTTACATCGTTCCTGTCTCCATACGCTTCCCCATCGTCTGCACTGAAACACTTCCGAGGTTCAGACTAAAAGACTGTAAATACACAACACGAGGGCAGCCTGTCGGCAAGCAACACCACTCAGAATGCGACTCGGCACCAGGAATAAACAAGGACTGTTCTGTCCAGAAAGACGGCGGGCATCGGTACAGAAACAGCACCTTCCCGCCGCGCTCTGGCAGCCCGCAGCCTGCGCCGGAGCAGCTAGCGGGGAACGCCCTCAGCGCCGCCACGCCCTCAGCGCCGCCGCGACCCCAGCCCCGCCGCCCGCGGCTGGAGGCAGCCGCGCCCGGCTCCGGCAGCACCGCCTCCCGCCCCGCCCCGGCCTCGCCTGGGCTTCGATTGCCCGCGCCGGCCGCCCGAGGTTGCTTTCCGCCCGGCGGCGGAGCGCTGACTTGGCGGGACGGTGAGCGCCGGCGGAGCCGGGCTGAGGCCGCCGCTGCCGGGAAGCTGGGCGGGGAGACGGCCGAGATGGTGGAGGACGGCAGCGAGGAAGAGGAGGCGGAGGGAGAGAGAGGGGAGATGCTGGGAGCTCCGCAGCACAACGGCTTCCTCCCCGGCAAGGAAGCGGAGAACGGCGGCCCCAGAGGATGCGCGGCGGGCGGCGGGCGGGCGGAGACGCGGCTTTCGCGGCGGCGGCTGGCGGTGCTGGCCGTGTTCAGCTGCTACTCGCTGGTGAACGCTTTCCAGTGGATCCAGTACAGCATCCTCAGCAACGTCTTCGTCCACTTCTACGGCGTGTCCTTCACGGAGATAGACTGGCTCTCCATGGTGTACATGGTGGCCTACGTGCCGCTCATCCTGCCCGCCTCCTGGCTGCTGGACGCGCGCGGCCTGCGCCTCACGGCGCTGCTGGGCGCGGGGCTCAACGCGCTGGGCGCGTGGCTCAAGTGCGCCAGCCTGGCGCCCGGCCGCTACGCGCTCACCATGGCGGCGCAGGCCGTGTGCGCCGTCGCGCAGGTCTTCATCCTGGGGCTGCCCTCCCGCATCGCCTCCGTCTGGTTCGGCCCCGCCGAGGTCTCCACCGCCTGCTCCGTGGCCGTGCTGGGCAACCAGGTGAGGGACTCGCGCCGGCTTCGGGGAGGTGGGCTGAGGCGGTGCTGGGCGACGTGAAGTGCCGTGAGTCACGGGGGAATTAAGGTTGGAAAGACCTCCGAGGTCACCCTGGCCGACCCCGGCCCGTCGCCGCTTTGCCCGCTGACCGCGTCCCTCAGCGCCGCATCTCCGCGTTTCCTGAACACCTCCGTGGACGGTGCCTCCACGCGTCCCTGGGCAGCCTGTGCCACTGCCTCACCGCAATTTCTGAGGAGTTACGTTCCCTGATAGGCGGTGTGAGGTGATGGTGGTGTGAGGCGGTGGCATGAGGTGGCGGTGTAACTGAGTCGGATCTCCCCGCGTCCCCTGCTGGTTTATCGGAGCTGGACCGGGCATCTCTGGAAGCGCAGGTGGAGATGAGGTGCTGCTCCTTGTCCTTCCCCACATCACCTTATTCTCAGCCCCGTCCCTGCTCATCTGTGGCAGCAAAATGGTGAAACTCCCAGCAAGGTCACTGGTGCTGGCTGAGGTCATAGGTGTGGTTTCGTTAAGATAATAGAGGTTGTGTTTTCTGTCGCGTGAGTCTGATGATTTATGACTGTGCACTTTGGATTATTGGTAATATTTAGGTTAAGGTTCTCGCTATAATCTACTTCTTTATTAACAGCTGTTCTATTGCTTTCCCACAGCAATTAATTCTGTGCCTTTTTGCTATCCAGAATCAGGTTTAAGATTTCTTTGTCAGCTCCATCTCTGCAGTTCAGATGCTCACCAGTCCTCCCAATGACAAGGAGCTGCCGGGGCCTCAGTTTGGCAGTGCAGTGGCCAAGGCTTCCCCAGCTAGTGCAGAAACTGGCTGTGGGGCTGTGCTTCGCTCTGATGCTGGTGAAGGAGAGGAACAGCAGTGCAGGGATTGTCCCAGATCACACACGGTATCTGTTGAGGTGCTGTTTACTTCAGCTGAAACATATATCTCTGAGAGTGCGGCTGTTTGCCTGTCAAGGGTTGTTTTGAGCACCAAGTTTTCAAAAATAGTTTCACAGTTGGGTATAACAGGTTCTTTCTTGATCCTTCTGACCATAATTCTGTACTGCAGTTCTCTGTATGAAGAAGGTTTTTTTTTTTTAAAAAAAAAAAAGGTGGCACAGGATGATTGTGGGTATTACATAGCACTGCTCTGATGGCAAATAAAAGTCCTACACATTAGGAAAAAGCATAACAGTGTACTCTGTGTTTATGAACTTTGTATACTGAAGGGTGACAATAAAAAGAAATGAGTTCTTCAGGTGAAAACTGAATACTGCTTAAATCTGATGGCCTGAGAGAGGAGCAGGGAAAGACTTGCAAGGCGAATGCACAAAGGCTGCTTTGAGAGCCTACTGGCACACCTCTGGTGTGACTGCTCTCTGAGTTGTGAATTTGCCGTCCTGACAGTCATTGACATATTATTCATTTTAACCTGAAATAGATGCAGGGGTTTTTTTTTAAGTCTGAGAATTTGTTCTTGCACTTAAGAATACAGCCTAGTTTTATATGAGTGGCAGAGGCAAGTTGCAGAGTAATTTAAGGCTGTTGTTTCTTGACATTTTTTAATGCTTTACACATATACCCAAAATGTCAGGAAAATGATTTTTTGTTTCTTTTCTTGCTTTTACAGCTTGGCACTGCCATTGGCTTTTTGTTGCCACCTGTCCTGGTTCCAAATACCCCTGATGATATTGATCTAATGGCACATAATATAAGCATAATGTTCTATGGAACAGCAATAGTATCCACACTTTTGTTCTTCTTAACAGGAGTTGGTAAGTGTTCTGTTCTTACAGTGTGAAAGTACTGTGGCCATAGGGAGTGTTTATGCTATTGTACTTCAGGCATTTGACTTAGCCCACAGGACTCGGGTTTACCTCTTCTCAGGTTACTTGTGCTCACTGTCTGTGGTATCAGGGCTAGGAGACAAATGTTACTGTGTGTCATGCTTCACGTGGAGCAGCCTCTCTCAGTTTTTTGCTAGAACCCATGGGGACGCTATGATATTATGGAAATTCTTTCTGTTATTCTTACAATTTAGATGTGAAGGTTGCATGTGAAGTTGCATACGAAGTCAGACTAACTATATGCTGGCAGCAGTGAGATGTGAACAAGTTAATTAACACATCTATTCTGGCTGTGTCTTGTTTCTTGCATGAGGAAAATCTAGAATATATATTTGGAAGTATTAAAAAAAGACAAATTAATCTTGTTAAATGTATTGAACTAGAAGACTTCGTGTTTCTAGAAAGAAACAGGCAATGACTCTCATAAAGACAGATGAAAATCTTTTTTTTCCCTAGTGTTTGAAGAGAAGCCCAAATACCCTCCCAGTCACTCTCAAGCACTCCTGCAAGCTATGCCTCCTGAGGATTACTCCTACAAGCAGTCAATTATTAATTTGATCAAAAATGTCCCATTTGTACTTCTGCTGATCAGCTATGGTAAGTGGTTCTGTCTGGCTGTTGTCTGGCAGGGCAGTTCCAATGTGTGCCAGAAGCATGGTGAGGTTAATTATTGTGCTTTCTTTGGTTGAGGGAGGAATATCAAACTACTACATATTCAGCAGCTTATACAGGAAAACCCTGCAGTATTCAAAATGCCACTTATAGGTCTGGAGAAGAGATGTCGCATGGTAGATGAAAGGTATTCCTCTGGTCTGAGTCTTGGATGTCAAAAGATTAACTGTGTGGTAGCAGATCTGTGTGGCTAGATGTGGGGTGACTGAAGCTCTTCTTTTGCTGTTGCAGGAATTATGACTGGAACATTTTATTCTGTTTCCACATTACTGAACCAGATGATAGTAACTCATTATGAGGTAAGTATTGTTTTGTTTTTGTTTTTTTAATTTTATATTTGCAGAGGTGATGGTGTTTATTACTTAGATTTGGTTTCCTTTGTACCCTCCCATACAGTTTCTTGCATCATACAGCTGTGGGAGTCATAGGAATGTTTGTTTGCCTTATGACTGCCAAGAGGTCTGAACTTGCCTCTGAGTGGAAACAAGTTATTAATGAGCACCATATAAATATTTGTTGAAAGGGAGAAGAAGTGAACGCTGGGAGAATTGGCTTGACACTGGTGGTGGCAGGAATGGTGGGTTCGATTATTTGTGGTTTGTGGCTGGATTACACTAAAACGTACAAGTAAGTGTGGGTAGGCATGTATGGGGCTAAGGGTAGGAGTCTGGTGCAATTATGTTTGAAAAATACTGCAAGTGTGGAGGTGAGCTGATGATAAAATGCAGCACGTTCCTGATCTTCGAGCAGCCTTGATGAAGACGAGTTTCAGAGGCTTCAGCAGAAGTCTGACACTCTGTTACTGGTTCTTGACAAAATGAAATGAGATAGGGTGTGCTGTGGAGAATGCGAAGACATGAAGGAGTTTTTCATCTACTCCTGTCTCTGCAGGGAATGTCATGCTATCAAAAAAAGTATTGTGTGTCCTACGTGTAGTGGCCAGAAGGAACCCAGTAGTTTCCTTCTCTGTGGAAAGCATAAAGGCTCAAAACTTACCCTCTCTTGTTGTGTGAAGCATCCAGTTGAGGGATTCCCAGTTCTTGTACTACTCCTGGACCTGTTAAGAAGCACAACACTGGTTTTCATTCAGGGGATGACCATGCAGCAGAACTCTGTTTTGGTGTAAGAGCTCTTGGGTCCATCGCCTGTGTTGTGGTGCCCCCCCAGGAGTGGGCAGTGCTCCAGAGTGCTGCTGGCAGCAGAGGAGTTCTCCCTTGGTGATTCTCACGTGTGAGCACTGTAGAAACCTATAGGATGCTAGTGCTGTAGATTGTTTCTCCATGCCTTTTGCTGTATAAATGAGTGGTGCATGCTTTAATGTTTTGGATTACATCCCTCATTACAGATTTAAAATGTTTTATTTTTCTGACTTGCTTCTTAGACTGTTTTTTTTTTTTTTTTAAATCACTAATATTGATTTGGCTGCTGCTGTTTTGATCTTTATATAATGTATTGTGCTGCAGAATGGCCAAGAGGTGCAGCACAGAACTGAAGGAGAACTTCAGTTAGTCTTGAGGTAATGGTTTCCTGTACAATTATTTGTTCTTTGAGAGTCTGAATAGTTCTCTTGGCCTTGAATGAAGCAGCTGTGTAACTAAGGCAATAAGGAGCTGGGGTATGAATGTCTTCTCACTAAAATGCATTATATGGTTAAGTTAGAGTTACAGAAGCTAATTTCATTATTGTAGAAAGTCAGTTGTTAGCAAGAGATTAAATAATGTTTATATTACTCTTCTGTACTTCAACGATGTGTTATGACCTTATGTTTAAAATGTTAATATGTTTCTATTGTTGTTGCGTTGCAGGCAAACTACTTTGATTGTTTACATTCTCTCCTTCATTGGGATGGTGGTATTCACCTTCACGCTGGACCTCGGATACCTTATAGTGGTGTTTGTGACTGGAGGAGTGCTTGGGTGAGTGATGAAAGGAGGCTAAAAGGTTGATTGCAGTTCTGCTCAGAGACAGTATTTGACTGTTTTAACTTAGTGTTTCTACTGTGTGTTCTGTCACCGTGCTCTCAACCTATGTCTATGTAGCTAATAGATGTGGTTTATTTAGCAGGCAAAGCAAGTGTTTAATCATATTAGATCTTGAAAACAAACAGTTCAGAGTAGCAGATAATTCAGAGTACCAGGTGTTGATGCTTGATTTTTATAGCCCCAGTCACAGATGAAAGCCATATCCATCATTTTCTTGTTTTCTTCTTCAACAGATTCTTCATGACCGGCTATCTCCCACTCGGGTTTGAATTTGCAGTGGAAATTACATATCCAGAATCTGAAGGCACTTCCTCAGGACTCCTCAATGCATCAGCACAGGTTATGTCACTTTATTTATCCAAGTGGTGTAAAGTTCAGGAAGGCTGCTCTGCTAGAGTCTAAGTTCTTCCTTAGATTTGGCTGCTGATCTCCGTTGTGTTGTTGTATTCCTTTTAAAATGTGTATTTTTAAATTATTATTTGGTTCAGTACGATGTGGTCTGAAGTTGATGACTCTTTTTGATGTGGTACTGATGAAGTGATTTGTTTGTAGATATTTGGAATTGTCTTTACGCTTGTTCAAGGAAAGCTTACAACAGACTACAGTCCTCGTGCAGGAAACCTCTTTCTTTGTGCTTGGCTGTTTGTGGGCATTATCTTAACAGGTAATTAAGCAGAAATGTAAGTAATGGTTTATTTTAAATAGAAAAACGTAGAGTTGAGATGTTTCAAACACATAGAATGTATGTGTATTAGTATGTGACTTTCTTTCCGGGCTGAGGACCAAAATGACTAGTAAGTGCAGGGTATGTTTTGTTTAAGTTTTACATACTTGCTGTGTCCACACGCTTTGTTTTAAGGATGATGTTGCTAATAGGTGAACAACCAGTCACCACCCATTTCTTGAGCCTTGTCCTGAATTTGTGGCAGATGCTTGCCTTCAAAGTAGGTTAGTGAATATAAGCAAATTGATAAATGCAGACAGTTTGCAGTTTTTCAAATGTTAAGAAATGTTGATTTTTATGTGATGTGATTTAGACATGCCAGCATTTGGAAGCATGCTGGAAGTGACAAAACCACCAAGCTTTGCTTTAGGTACTCATAGTTTAAAAGCTTTTATTGTCATTTTTTGGCATGTGACTTGTGAGGAGCAAGTTCCAGTTGTCACCACTTCAAATTACAAGAATCAGTGATGTATTTTCAGTCAGTGCTGAAAGCAGCTTCTTAGTGCTTGCACATGCCCATGAAATGCATGTCATTACAAAACTGGAAATCAACTTTCTCTTTTTCTTTTTTTTTTTTCCCCCAGCCTTAATAAAATCAGATCTGCGAAGACATAATGTGAATTCAGGGATTATGAATATGGATGTTAAAGCTGTAAGTGGTGACTCTTTTACACTGATTATATTACTACACTTGAATGGCTGGCTTCTACTGAATTAATATTAACAGAAAAGAGTGATTGACAAAAACTTGCTGTGTGACTGTTTCTGTGCTGCTTTGTAAGGGTGGAGCTGTGTGGGATGCTACCATCAGATAATGTTTCTCTCCTTAGCTTCCATGACAAATCTCTGCTCTCAGATTTTCCTGAATTGTGTGTGGCTAGTATTCATCTCTTATTTTATTTCTTGAGTCTAGGATTTATTTATTTTTCCATGTTTGTAAGTAGTTCTGTAAATTGTGAAGCCTTTTTTTTTGCATATTGCTTTAGGAGGTCATGCTATAGATGACACATTTTATTTTAAATACCTGCCATCCCTGTAGGTGAAGTCGATGTCCAATGAACTGAAGTCATGCTGCATTTTTTATTCTGTGTTTTCATGAAGAGCCAGGTTATTCTTCTGCTGAGCACCCTATTGAGTTATGGGAGAATGAGCACTGTGCTTCCTGCTGTTTACGAGGTTCCAAGACCGTGGTTCAGCAGCTTTTACAACTTAAAATAGTCACAAGTTGAATTAAAACCAACACCTGAAACTTCTTTCAGTGCTGTTATTTTCTTGACCCTTTTGATTCAGTTAAGGAAAACAGCTTTCTGAAGTCAGATTTTTAAGGTCCTTCATATACCTTTTTGTATTATAAAGGTGTCTAGCATAAACAACAGCTTCTGGTCATCTGCTAGCAGCTTGAACACTTAAGGTTCAGAAACTTGCAAGTCAATGCCACACAAGCAGATGTTTTTACCTGAAACCTGTGTGGCTGTGTTTGCACAGTATGACAGTCTGTGTGTTTATCAGCTTTGGTTAGGGTTGTCACAGAGATGCACGTGATGACTTGTACGTAGCAGTTCCTTGACTGTTCCACTTTCCCTCCTTACCTTGTTAATTAGCTAGATTGTCAAACAACTTCATTAATATTAACCCCAATAGTACGAAAGCGTAGAGTTCTCACCCCAGCATTATCATAGATGAGAGCTGCCTGTGTTAATAAATGTAGAACAGCTTCCTGTGTAAATAAAGATAAAATACACCCGATTCTAAACCTTGATTAAGATTCTCCCATATTTAAACCTGATGGAGGAAAAAAAAAAGGAAGTTAATCTCCACATGATAAATATCTATGTGCAGTAAATGCATATTTTAGAGTTAAACTAAGGAAACTCAATTCTATGGATGTTTTTTGTTCTTTTTATTTTTTTTTTAATCAAAAAGAGAAGGGAAAATAGAGTGTTCTGTAAATGTCTTTTCTAGTTGATAAACAACATGAACTATTTGGTCTAACATACTATTGTAGTCTAACTCAATAGTTACCCAAGAGTACTGAGATTGAAAGTGGCTTTGTCTGTATTACAGCTTAATTCTTGATTACTGCTTTCTTCTTCCCACAGGTACCAGTTGACAATCCAGTAGAACGTGAAACTTGTACTGCATTAAAAATTCAGTCAGATTTGTAAACCCGAAAGAAGATGGCTTAGAAACGCACAATTTTGGTTGAATGCTGAACAAAATTAGTGTAATCACTGGATTTATGTGTATGAGTAGTAAAATGTGTTTGCTGATTTTGGTTACAGTTGTGTGGTGGGAGCTAGGAAGATGCTGACTTCATTTTGCCTGAGATATAAACGATAGGACTTTGTATGGAATATTTATTGGAACAGATTACGAGTTTTGCTGTTTCGTTAATGAATCACAGAATCGTGGGGGTTGGAAGGGACTTCTGGGGATCATCAAGTCCAACCCCAAATGCTCTCCATTTTGGGAAGAAGTGTACATTCCAAATGTGTAGTACCAAAATGTGTGTTTGGAATCCTGAGGTACAATCATGATCAGAAGTATCTTCTCCCCAGGAAATCGAAAATTAATTAATTACTTGTGCAGTCCTTTCTAGTGCTTTTACCAAGTCAGAGTAGGTAGCTGCATGACTGGAGGGTATTCATACTTTTTTTAATGTCTCTGATGTAAGACAGTATTTCTTTCTGGGAAACTGTCTATAGCACAATTCTGAAAATGAGATAACTGCAATTATGCGTGTTGAGTTTCTTTTGCCTTGAAACTTCTTGGTAGATAGTGGAAGATGAAAGAAAATGCTTTTTTTGTAAGTTCATCAAGCATTTCTGGGGAGATTTAAAGAATTTCTTACTAGGTATGTTGAAGAAAATACATTTCTTATTAAATAGAAAGAAAAGAAGAAGAAAGATCATTGATTTATCTGTCTATCTATGGTGAAGTATTCACAGGCAATGAAATATGATTGCACAGGTTGCCTCCTGAATATTTTGAGTGCTTTCTCAGTTCAAATGAGAGGAACACGTGTTTACAAAGAGATGGTGCCTTTACAAAGTAAAGAAAATCCTTGTCTCATCTTGAGTTTGACCAGTGCTGCTGAAGACATTCCATTTTGCTTGTTAAACCTCCTGAATATTTGTGGAGTATCAGAAAATGTGTTCTACCTGTTGTATTGTTTTTTTCCCCTCCCTTTATTTCTCTGTGTTATGTTGTATCATTTGTCTCCTGTAAAATTTTTGTGTTCGCTGTATAACTTAGCGGTAAATAATGTCTTGTTCCTCACAGTTAAAAGCTGTAAGGGTGACTGAAAGGAAAATAGTGATGTTTCTCTTTGTCTGATGAAATACTTGCTGTTTAAATAATGAGTCTTAGCTACTAAGTACGCTGCTTTGCTTTTGTATTATAATTGTTTGTATTATTATTTCTCACTGCAGTGCTACTGATATTATTCTTCACCTTGTGTACTATCTACCCAGCTAGAGAACTGACATCCCTACAGTAATGCTGAGGCTCTTCTACTGAAAAGTCCAGCCAGAGTTAGCAGCATTGAGGCTTTAGCAGCCTTTCAGGTGAGCCTGCAGTTTCAGTGCCATCAGTGATGCAGTCTCTGTGTTCCTACAGCTGTAGTGCCATCCAGCAGGTTGAATCCTGCTTGAAGTTTTCTTGTGGGTTACAGATTGATATGAAGAACTTTGCAACTCCCAAGATAGTCTTTCAAGGTGTTAAGTATAATAAAATGCTTTTCTTTTGCCTTGTTTCTCTGTAGATTTTGAGATTTTTTTTATATATAAAAAAGAACCTGTATAGGTAGCTTTCTTAACTTAGCCTCTAAGCTTTGCTCTTAATTTAGTGTTTTGTATGATAAATGCTTCAGATATGAGTAGGCTGAGTGGCACTGTACGTATCTGAAGAAGCCTGGCATATCTGAACATTTGTCTTTCCAAAACAAGTCCATACCTCTGCCAGACCCAGCACTACAGAGAAAGTGGGCATGCTTATGGCTCCTGGAGAGGCAAGCTCTATGAGAGGAGTCCTCTGCGAGACAGCTGAAAGGAGATGTTCAAATGGCAGGCAAGAGGATAGGAGTGGAGGTAGAGGTTCCTTATTTATCTCAGTTCTTACATGAAACAACTAACCGATACCAGCTACCCCATTCAGGGATGTACACGTTTTCAGCCTGAGTGAGCAAAGTGAAAGTTCCTTCCTTTTGCTTTCTGTGTTATTTTTGCCTTTAGAGGAGTGATGATACTATGAATTATATATATATAAATATAAATATAAAACTCTTCCACAGAATACAAATATACAGAATACTGTGTTCAGAGACTGTGTTTGCTATGCGCTTTCCCTTTTGAAAGCAAAAATTTAGGACCTTCTGTTTTGGGGGATGTGCTTTCAGATAGAGTGCCCAGTACTCTACTGTGCCCAGTAGAGTCTTTGGCAGCATCCAGAATACTTTCTACATGTCTGCTAAACACTCTAAAGTTGAGCTCTTAATTTATTTTGGAAATTCCTTTCCCTACTAGATTCCAATTTGTTTAGTTGTTTTCAGTTGATTATTGAAAACTGTTCCAGCCCTACTGGCTCCTTGTGTTTTTCATCTTCTGCCAAATTACTTGGCTGCCCTCTGAAATTGTCCAAACAAGATTTTTGGCATGCTAAAAAAACCTGCAGGGTTCCTGAAAAAAAAATATTCCTAATAATGAAGACTTAATTACATCCTGGACTTAATGCAGATCAGAAGGAACTTGAAAGTCGGAAACCTGTGAGTATGTATTTATTTGAAAGCTATTTCTAGGCAAGGACTAAGTATAGAAATAAAAGGCTAAGTGGCAAAATGAGGAACAAATAAACCAATAGTCTTCTCATCTTTTCACAAAAAAAAAAAAAAAAGGTTCTAGGTTGTGGCAGAAACAGGTTTGGAGTAGTTGGGGCTTTATTTTTTTGCTTTGTGTTTGTTTGTTTTTAAATAATATCAGTCAAATGTGTCTGGAATTGAAAATAATGCCTCTGAGTTTATGAGCTATTGTGGCTCAGCTCTCTTCCAGCAGAGGTTAAGAATCAAAATTGCTTAAAGAGTAATCAGTCCAGGAATGGGATCGTGTGTGTGCCAACTGTGACAGAACAGAATCAGAAACCATGTGAGGAGAGCCACCCCAATCCCATGCATTAATTTGTGTTTTAAGTATGATCTTCTACGTATCACGGAAGTGTGTGATTATTGTTACCAACTTATGTTTCCTACTGAAAAAAATGCTTTTGAAAAAGCTTTGGACTAACGTCTGTGTGTATGACTAAGTGAAATTGGGTTAAGCCATGAGTATGTATCACTCTCATTTTCCATTCCGTGAACTCAATAGTTTGTGAATGGGAATGCGGTGTTGGTTTTTGTCTTGCTGTACTTGTAACACTTTCTGAAGCATTAGAGACTACAAACGGTTCATAGCCCACAAGCTAAGCTGTTGTATCCATGTTTTATCCCCCATACAACATGCTGCCTGAAATCTGTGAAGAGAAATTGTTAATACACAGAATAGAATGGAATAAGCAAAAATATGCTTAAGAGAAATGCATTTTCTTGTAAGACCTGTGTTATATACTGCTTGTCTTTGTTCTCTTGGAGATTGTGAAGATTTTTGCTGTAATTTTTGTTATTGTCCCATTCTTTGTTTCAAAATAAAGTTAAAAAAAAAACCCTATGAATATTCTCTGAATGCAGTATTGTACATATGTATATATGTGGGTGAAATCATTCTTTACCATTACGTGTCACCTATAAAGCTTACAGCATACAACTTGATTGTAGCAAAGCTGCTGGTACAGCTGATGTGTTAGATTCGTTTTGCCCCCCTCAAAAGCTGTCATTTAATGTAGGAAAACTAAGCTTTATATGTGAATTTTTTACTGTGCACTTAATAAACATGCATGCATTCATATACAGACTGGATGTTTTCACATTACCCAAGCATTATACACAAGACTATTGGCTTACAGTGAAATCTTGTCAGTGTATGAAATTGAAGTATTAGCACCGATAGCTGAGTTGCTGAGTTGCACTATTCTAATGTAGTGGTTTCTCCTTTGGTTTGAAGGAGGTCTATGGAGAAGAAGTATGGCTGAGACCTGAAGCTGTGCATAAAGTCAGCTCCTCCAGGGTAGTGCAATATTATTTTATTTTCAAATGATTAGTATTGATTCCCAGGACATGAGCTGGGGGCCAAGCAAGTCTGAAGGATACAGCTTCAAAGAAAGTAGAGTCACTGTAAGAAAGTGATTTTAACTTTCACCTTCCTTCTCCACACAGCTCTGAGCTACTTTCTCATAAGAGATTAATCCTAGAAGGAGGCTACAGTTCGTGCAGAGCATCAGATGCACCAGCCTTGAGTGGTAAGTCACTGCTAATTTTCGCTCGTATTTGGTTAGGACTGTATTCCTCTATGAAAGTACCTCTACAAAAGCTGTAGGCTTATATTGCCACTTAGTGTTGCAATTTAAACGTTCCCACAGCTGGAAGGGAACAATCAGAGCAAATTATTATTACCCTAAAGTTCATTCTCTGGCAGACACTTGGTTTTTCTTGAAAGAAAAGAAAACTCACCAGGTATGTGGGAGATGTGAAGGCATCCTGACTGTGAGTCAAAGCTGTTCTCCAGAGAAAACGCTTTCTTTGTTCCTATAACTGAGGGGTGCTGTATGTATCCAAAACTAACAAGTGGGATACACTTTCAGAAACTGGATTTTGCAAAGTTAAAATGCACAGGTAATGAATACTCTGTTTCCTATGCTAAGAAGGCTTCTTAGAGCTTGCTGGATTTCCTCCTTTCTGCCTTTGACAGTGGACTTACCTCATTTGACCTTGCTCTGAATCAGTATTTCTATCTTTGCTTAGACAACATCTTTCAGAAGTCAAAACAATAATATCCTGGACTTTGTATAATAAAGTACTTCAGCAGTCATATCAGTAAAAAAAGGTGAAATGTGGGCAATGTTTAGACATGGTTTCTGATTTGTGAGATAGTGCCTGCTGAATATCAGGTAACGTCAGCATTTAGCCTCTAGGGTGCTGATTTTTAATCAGAGGGGAGAGTCCTGAAGTTGTTGGATCATAGGGACTGGACCACACGTGTTCCTTATTCTTTTACTGATTCTGGTATCGAGGGTAGAAGGCATTAAAATGTTATGCTGCCCTTTCTATGCTTGTACATACTGATATTCTCCTTTATTTCCTTGGAAAATAGCTTGGTTTCCTCAGAATAATTCATCAGCTAATTTTGCTTCCAGGTGCAGGAAGAAACCCGCTGGGGTGAGAATGGCTTGCCCTTGGCTTATTAACCAGCTTCGTGCACTTCAGTTTGTATATCTTGTGCTCCTAGAGTGCAGCTGAAATTCACTTAGGGGTCTATTGCTAAAAGCCTACAATTCACGTGGAAGCTAATGCTTAAAGTCTAAAGCTTCCACACTTTCTCCTCTTATATTTGCTCAAAAAAAGTATCAAAAGGGTGGAGGAGCCCTCAGGGGCTTAGCATGACAAGGCCTCCCAGCCCTGACAGCTGACAGTGGAGATATGGAGATCCAGAAGAGCCTGGGGTGACTTTGCTCCAACATACTTCATCTCCGCCATGGACTGTGAGGATCTTGCTAGAGTTGCAAAATGAGTATGATTCACATGATGGGGTATCATGTAGATGAATGAAAAAAAATCATTTTGCTCCAAATGACTGTATTTCCTTTAAGAGCTTTAAGTTTTGGAATTGACCACAGTATTTGAACTTTACCCTCATCTGCAGGCACTTCTGCAGTGTTTTGTCTACTGTTCAGTCATTGCTTTCTTGAGGAGGAGGAGTTTTAATCTGCAGAGCACTGGCATCCAATGAAACTTGAAGTGCTGTTCCAGATCAAAAGCTGCTTGATGAAATCATATGCATTGCGGTGATATTTTGTCATATTGTGGAGTGAAAACAGTGAATCACACACTTCTTTCTTTGCAGATTTCACAGAGAACCTCGGTCCAAGCACTTGAAGCTGCTGGGCTTATGACAAGTTTTATTGCTAAACTTGATCACTTTCTCAGTACACTCTCAAGTACTCCTGATCTTGAGCAGGCAGTGTTTGAATGGCATCCACTTCTCCCCTGGTACAGGAAACAGTGACTCAGTACTCAAACACAGAGGCTTACTTTGGCAGGGAGACGGTCCCAGCTCTCACCTCTGCTCAACTACTCCAGTTCTCTTGTGATAAGGACTGGGATGCTGCCAATTGCTGAAGAGATGGAAGTGATCTTGTGTCAGAGAAGCAGGTCCTTTTTTTAGCAGCTACCTTTCTTTGCTACCTGTACTGCTATTATGCAGTTCCCCTGAGCAATGTGATGGTGTGGAGTGGTTCACCCTGCACTTGAAGGTTATGGAGGAAGTGAGCAGTCAAAAAAGATGGCTTTTATAGACTTATGGAAGGTTACCACTGTGTTTCCTTGTTTTTTACGAGCAGATCTTGTAGAGAGTGAATCATGTGATATGCTGGCAAGTGAGACCTTCACAACAAGTTGCGTTAATGCAGACATTTCCCCAGACTGGGAGTGAAGCCTTGGAGCAAGACAGCAATGCAGGCTGGCCAGGACATGGTGGGGTACTGCTCAGTAACAGAGATCTCCATTGTACCTGGTGCTACTAGCTGTCAGTCAGCAAGGTGACCCTAATGGGAACAGGGTGGGCAGGGCTGCGCTGCTGTTGGCAGGGCTAGGAAAGATTTTTGGGGAGCATGTTGGGGTGGATTTACGTGCTAGTCCTGATGTGTTGTCTTTTCCTGCTGCTTTGGTTTCTGGTGCTGGAAACCTTGCATGTTGTATTAGACTGAGATCAAGTGGAGCCTCATTAAACAAACCCAACTAAATTAGCACTAATGATGTGTTGTGGTAGAATTAGTGCGGGAGGTCCTGGACCTGGTCAGGTGGAAATCAGAAGGCATTGCTGATGTTCTTCATTGCTAAAGCTGAAGCAGTTTGATGCTGTTGTGCTGTGCTGGAGCAGTGCAAAACAAACAGTTAAGAGTTTCCAGAAAGGGTTGTTTGGGGGAGTGCTCTAAAGCAGCATACTCTCAAGTCTTCCTTTCATAGCTTTTTTTTTTTTTAAGTCTACTTTACATTTTTATTCTCCTAGCTTTTATGATCACATTGATTTATACATAAAGTTATCGCTCTTAGTGGTTACGCAAACCACTCCTGCAACCTTGCCATTAACATATTACCATGGTGACATTCTTATCACCATTTAACCTTGCAGTTCATTACTAAGCAAATCCCATTCCAGTGTGATTTCCAGGTCAGGACAAAAAGCCCAAACAAATGAGTCTGATTTTCCTTTTCAGGCACCAAGTGATTTTTTTCAGGAAACGGACTCAATGTTGCACATCCATCATGCACTTACGTCAGGCAAACTTTTCAGACCCACATTCTTTTGTTTCCACAGAATCATAGAATCACCAAGTTTGGAAATAACTTCCAGGATTATCTAGTCCAACTGTCCATCTACCACTACTAACCCTAACCCATGTCCCTTAGTACAACATCTAAATGTTTCTTGAGCACTTCCAGTGAGGGTGACTCCACCTCCCTATGCAGCCTGTCCAGCACCTGACCATTCCTCCCCCAGCAACTGCAATGGGCTTTGTGGGTGCAGGGGTCCACGTTGTTCTTAGCAGAGAGAGCAGCTCCCCCTTTTCTTAATTTGGGGAAGCTTGTGGGAAAGCTTCCAGGAAGCAGTGCTGATCCTAATATCATCTTGCTGCTACAGTGCAATTAAGAGCCATTAATTTTCCTTCTGCCGGTTGTGTAATTGCACTGCAGGGTGTTCTGAATGCTGTGTGTGAATGAGTCTGCAATTGGAAATAATGAAGGTTAGAACCTTCTTGCATGACTTAATGATCAAATTAGTTCATTTGACCCAGAAAACATCTGCGGTGGCACCAAGCTCCGCGTTAGGAAAAAGACCACAGGTTAAGGGTGCCGCTCAGCCCTGTTACTTGAAGAGGGGACCGCAGTGCCCTCCGAGCTGCTCTGAGGCGTGGGTGCCCCTGGTAGGCAGGGTCTCGTTTGGCTCTGGCTGACAGCCCTTCTCCAGTCTTCCTGACACCAGCCTCCAGCTGGGACGCTGACAGAAGGTGGCTGGCAGGGCTCACAGCCCTCACAGGGGACGCCAGCTCTTGCGGGGGGCCGTCAGCAGAAGGCTGGCGTGCACCCAGCTCCGCTGAGAGCCTTCACGGAGAGGCCAGGGCACGGCAGGACTCACCCCAGCCTCTCCTCGCTCACTTGGCGCCACCTACTGGGCTGGTTGACACGTGGGATTTCTGCTATTAGGCAGCTAGTGAGGGGCGCAGTCCGGGGTTGGGCACGGCTCTCTGAAGGGCCACGGGGTGAGGCAGCCTTGGGGGGGGTGGCTCGGGTGTCAGTCGTGTCACAGCCCCCGGGCGCGGTACCCGGGCCGCCGGGGGGCGCCGTCGTCGCGGCCGTGCCGGGCAGCGTCTCCGCCAATTGTTTCCCCGCCCGCCTTCTAGCCCCGCCCCTCTTTGTTGCGGCCGCCAATAGGAGCGCGCTGAAGGCGGGCGGCAGGCCCGTAGCGTGGTAACGGCGGGGCGGCATGGAGCGGCGAACCCGCAGAGCGGCCGGGGCCGGGCCGGGGCGCCCGGGCCGTGGGACTCGGGGTGTCGCGCGGGGGGCGGGTACCTGCCGTTAGGGCCGGGGCCTCGGCGCGCGCGAACGCACGTTTAAACCCATCTCTATTGACGGAGGGGGGCGGCGGGGCCCGGTCGCCCCCCGCCCGGGGCATGGCGGCGGGGCCATGACGGGAGCGGCGGGCGGCGGCGGCCCCCGCCGGGTGTCGGCTGCGGCCAAGGGCGGGGGCCGCTCCCGGAGCGCTCAGCCGCGGGCGGCGGGCGGCAGCGGCGGCGGCTCGGAGGAGGAGGAGCAGCGGGACGGCGGGGTGCTGTTCCTCGTCAACAAGAGCGGCTTCCCGCTGGACGGGCAGACCTGGGAGCGGATGTGGGGGCACGTGGAGCGGGTGCACCCCGACGGCAGCGCCGTGGCCGCCGCCATCCGCAGCGCCTCCTGCCTGGCCCGGGTAAGGCTGCGGGGCGGTGGGAAGGGGCCGCGCGGACCTCCTGCGACCCGCCGCGGGTCCGTGCCTGCTGCCGAGCTGGCCTCGGCGCCCGGTGGCCGGAGAGGGTGGGCCCTGGGCCGGCGGGACGGTGCGTGCGGACCGGAATGAATGGCGAGCCCCAGGATCGAGTCCGCCGGCTTTGTCCGCGCTGGGTAACGGAGCGCTCGATCTGCGCACGGCGGCCTCCTGCTCCTTAATGGGCTGCGGTGAGGCGAGGGAAGGCGTTTCCACGCGGGCTGCCCGCAGCGAGCCGGGACCTGGCGTTCCGGGCACCGGGCGGTCGCTGGCCGCGCTGCGCCGTTCGGATCAGCAGCCCTCGCGCTGCAGCGGCCGTGCGGTCTGTGCAGGCGTCGCTGCTTAGAATAGCGACGCAGGGTCGAGGTCTCCCATCGCTCTGCTCCCGAATCCCACTTGCTTTATAAACGCGCGATCCGCAGCGCTGTGTCTGCTCGGCAGCCCTGACATCCCACTTGTACGCACAGCGCTGGCTGCTGCCCTGCTGGCGGGCTGGGACCGGTCCTCTGCAGGGGTGTGCTTTGAGGAGTAGGACAATGCCAGGCAGCAAATGCTGTGACATAATGACAGTCCCGGCAGGAGTTTCCCTGGCTTGAGCCTGGTGTAAAGTGTGACCAGAGGAACGGAGGGGGCTCCCTGCAGGTAGACAAGAAAAGGGATAGGAGCTGCAGTCCTTCTTCTGTCCCCTCTCGTTTCCCACCCCTGCCTGTGCCCCATCTCTGTGGGTACTTCTGGAAGCCAGGGATGAATCTGTAGTTAGGAAGCCGGGAACTGGAATTTTTCATGCTGCCTGGTCCCTGAGAGTATACAGCACCTTCTGGGGTGTGCTCGGTCCTTTGTGCTTCCAGTGGCGTTAAGCAGAAGCTGCATGCTGCTCAGAAACATGCAGGGATTGAGCTCTGGGCAGATGGAGCTCTGCCCACTGACCCAGGACACAGCTGGCCCAGATCAGCTTGCCTGGCTGTGGTGTGACCGATGTGGGCCTGCTGCCTGCATAGCCACATTTGTGCCTGGGACTGGCCCAAGATGCAGAGCAGTCCAGAGCCCTTTGTGCTGCAAGCTCTTATGGTGTTCTGGTGATCTTGTTCCACGTGTACTTCACACACATGTGTGAAAGACATTGACATGGAAGGTTTCAGCACCAAAAGCTCGGGGCCTGGCCCAGGCCAGCCCAGCCCTGATAGTTGGGATGCCTGCACTGTGTGCAGTGAGGGCTGTGGGTCCCAGCAGCTGGGGGCCTAAAGGCTCTTCAGCAGTTGAGCTCCTGTAGTTTGGGTGAGGGCCGCCCCACTGCCTCAGTGTGCTGTGTATGTGCAGTGCAGGCAGGCTTTTATCTTACAGGATGGTCTGTATGGGAGTGAGAGCAGCAGCTGTTACATCTGGAAACCTTCGTTCACTTTTTTTTTCTTTTAACTATTTCTGCTCCTGAAACTTGAGCCCTGTCTCAGTGATTCATCCAAGCCAAAGGGGTTGGGGGTGGAAGGAACTTGTGAAACTGAAGAACTACCTCTAATGAAGAGCATATGCCTGGAAATTTGTACTAAGAAATGCTCACCATCCCCACTTGTGACTTGTTGTGGCAGCAGAGCTGTCTGCGTGGTTACCATATCTCTCGCTGCACTGAGGATGCTAGCAGCACACTGGAGCCCCAGCCGTCTGTCTGCTTCCCACTTAAAACACATTTTTGTGTGTCAGTAGTGTGAGTCTCTTCCTATCCCTTTTCCAAGGTCTGTGTACTGTCTGACAGTAGTAGCGAGCTGAATGTGGGTGCCGGTCTCCTTGGGAGGTGCTTGTCACAAAGCAAACAGTGAGCAGCTCACTCAGAGCGGAGGTGGGAGCCTGAGCAGCCAGTTCCATGGGATGGAGGCTCCACCTATTTTTATAGATGCTGACCCCTTGTTTTGCAGCCTTGCCCCTGTGGTAGGATGATGACAAGGAGCTGCCCCTTCCCCACGTTGCTGCGGGCTGAGGAGCCACATAGTTGTGGGGATTAGATGTGGATTGAGGGCCTGGCTTCTGATGGTGCTTTGGCACCAGCTGATGCCTTAGGGGATTTCTGAAAAAATCCCATTATGGTACAGTCTCTATCTTTTAAGTGTCTTAATACCATTAACTATCTGGTGCCCTCAGATGGCCTTTTGGCCCTACCAATCCCTGCCTGGCAAGTGCTGGGATTGTGTTTCTGTGAGGAGCCTGTGTGTGCAGGCTGCACAGGCACAGGTCCTGTCCTGTCCCCACGCTGTGGGGTGTGGGCAGTCCCTGTCACAAGCAGGATGGCTTTGTCCTGTGCCCAAGCTCACTCAGGTGGGAGTCGTGTGCTGCAATGCTGCACGGCGTTAAGTGCTCGCATCTGTCTGAGTAACTCAGCCTCCTGTGGGGAGTGGTAGCTGTCTGACCTCTTCCTCTTCTCTCTGTGCCCAGCCCTCGGTTCCACCAGTGCCCAATTACAAGCTCTCCATGTCCATCCCAGAATGGCTGCAGGCAATACAGACCTACATGAAGATGCTGCAGTATCCTCTGCACAGTGTGCACTCTTGCAAAGAAGGCTGATGTGTCCAGCATGCAGCACTGCCTCATGGGTTAGCAGGGTTTGCTGGAGCCTGGTCACAAGGGGATCATTGGGGGTGAGGGGACACCTCTCAGCACTGCTACAGACTTCTTGAGCCTTTTCTGAGGAGTGTAATGAGCTGCAGCAAAGCAGGAGCTGTGGGAGGGAGGGAAGGTGGTCTTGGAGCATGCATCTGTGTTCTAGCCCTGCAGCCTGCCCCTGGGACAGCTGTATTAAGAGAGGGGTAAGAAGGAAGTGCCCTTTCCACATGTTCCAAATGCTTGGAGGTTTCTTTGGAGCAGCAAGCATCAACCTGGCCTCCCTGCTGCTCTGACAGATAATGCTGGGGGAAGCAGCTGCTGGCCTGGATGCTGACTTGGCTGCTCTTTTCTGTTTGCTTTTTCTCTAAACTCTCCCTTTGTGTGTGTGTGCGCGCTCTGGGGGAAGCAGTGAAGATGAGGAATGAACGTGAAGTCCTGGTAAGGATTAGAAAGGGATCTGGGTGGCAGCTGGAGGAGCATCCAAAAATAGCAGGGCAGAGGTTGGGATCAAAGCCCAGGCAGCAGCTGCAGGGCAGGCACTGCTGTGCAGCCCCCCTTAGGCAGAGAGAGCTACAGGGAAGAGGGCTGCACTGAAGGGGAGGCCATGTCACACAGCTCAAAAACCACCATCTTTTCCTCCAGTGGTTTTGAAATGCTGCACTTTGCTATGGAGGAGGAACAAGTCTCAGAGGTCGGGTTTGGCTCTGTGTTCAAAAAGGCTTCAAAGTGTGCCGGGACTAGGGAGCAGGATCCTGGCTTCCTTTGAGGGCTGAAGGAGGCTGTATGTTTTCAGAGCACTCTGTGAAAGGGCCTCATGAATTAAGTTTCAAAGGTGGGTGGGAGAGAAGGAAAGGTTTTTTTTTTTTTCTTTTTTTCCTGGAGGTCTCTGAGCTCTAACTAAAGTCTGTTCTGAGCATCCTGATGCAAGCTGAAGATTTGTATAGCCATGGTCACACAGCCAACAGCAGTGCTGGTTGTACTATGCTGGGGTTTGCTTGGTGGGTGGCTGTCCTCTGGCATCCTTCATGGTGAGCTCTCATGTGCTCGTGGTGTTAACTTTTGTTCTTGAGTTGCACTTAGCTGGCTAGTTCCATTTTAAGTGCATTGTGTATTTTAGGGAATGATTTATATTTCCTAAGTGTAAATAGATGTATTGCCATGCAGTTGATTTACAGGCTGACTGAGTTAAAACTTACAAAGGAAATTAGTTCTTTGAAACAATGAATTATGCTGGTTGGTTTGGGCTTTTGTTTGAAAGGGAGACTTTTTTCAAACTATAACTCATTTTTTTTCAGATGCAACCCAGTGGCAAATGGGAGCTAGAGGAAAAGAGAATTCACATCTCCCAAATGCCAAATGTGTCATGTTAGACAAGTGACCTTTTTGCTCAATCCTCCACCTCATGCTGATTAATATGTCATAAATTGTGATTTTATTGTTTGTCTTTTTAAGTTGCTTTCCTTAACATACAAACTTCAGATACAATCACACGGGAACTCAGTTCTTCGAGATCAGAAAATCCAGACCTCTAAGTGGGTAAGTGTCTTTGGAGGTGGTATACTGTCATGCTCCCCCATAAATACTGAAGGCACTCAGCTGATGCAAAGCAATGTAGTGGTGTGGGAGGTCTCTAGTGTCACTGTCTGCCCTGGCACAGCCATGGCTGTGTGTCACTGCCTTTGCAAGGAGAGTCCCAGCTTGCTGCCTCCTGGGACAAGGACCCATAGCAAGCCAGCAAGGGGGGAGAGCTGAACTTGCTCAGTATCCATGCTGCAGCTGGCCAAGCTTGAATGTGCAGGGTTGGAAAAATTCGATTCTTGTTTGTTGATGTGGGGTTGGGAGGGCTGGGCTGTTTTTATGGAAACTATGTAAATCTTGATATTCTGGTTTGCACTGTAATCACTATAATACCATTGCTAATGATAGGAAGAGATCAACTGTGCACATTGCTGCAGAAATTTTAATGTTGTCTTGGGCTCAGTTATTTCACCTTTGAGGATCGCAGGGAATAGCTCAAGTCACGGTCTTGGTTCTCCCTTTGCTGATCATCTTGTCATTCCTTCCACCTGGTGTGGATGACAGTGAGTTGCACAATACAAATAAAAACATGTGTGCAGGGAGTGTAGCAACAGAGTTGGGACCTCTTGCAAGTAAGAGCTGTATCCCGATTATGACAGATCTTTGAAAGGACCCAGTAACTTGGCAGATTGGGGTGGGAGGTGGTGTTGACAACTTTGTGCCTTTTTTATAGGGCAAAATTTAGACAAGCAGAATGTAATGACTCCTGTAGGTTGTCCCGTCTAGCTCTCCTCAGCTGTCTGTTACTAATAGTGTGTTGCTGTAAATTTCTCTTCCAATCACAGCTCTAGACTTCAAGTTTTCATCTTGCTGACAACAATCTTTCTCATTTCCTTTCTCTATGTAATTTTACTGTACTGGTGGAACTTGTTTAGAAGAAATCTTGTGCTTTGAATGATGAATGGGTTTACAGACACTTAAGCCAGTTTTCAAGCTGGCCACTCATTTTTAAAGTTGTCCCATTACTTTTATCCAGGGAAGTGAAGGGTGAGATAAACTCACTACTTTAAATGGCTGTGTTCTCTTGGGCTTGATGATAGCCTGCCTTACGAGGATGGTGCTTTTTCCTTAAGGTGAATCAGTGTGGAGACGTAATCAGGGCTTTGGATCCTCTTCTAAGTGGTCTCATTTCCTCCTTTTATCTGCCTTTAATGTTTGTGGGTTTGGGTACTCATGTTTGGCTTCTCTTCTTGTTGCAATGACTTCTGAGCAATCTACTTTGTGGTGGTCAGGACTTCAGGAGAGCTACAGTGAGGGCCTCTGGAAATGGCCTGCTGGTTTGCCAGGCATAGTTGTCTTCCTTTCTCTTCCATTAGACTTGCATAGTATTAGCTGCTAAGCCTGCATTGGTTTGCTCCTTGACATAATGGACAGGAGTAGGCCTGGCACAGGATGTGTGTAGGATCCTTCACTTGCTTTTGAAATAAGACAGGAGCCTGCTGACAAAGCGAGGTTTGTATTTGCAAGTGGATCTGGCAAGATGCTACACTATCCATTTCTACCAACTCTTGGAAGCTGAGACTGTTACCAGAGTTGTGATTTATTGATGCTGAACATATTGTTTATTTCATATCGTGAAGGCTCAGGCTAATGAAAGCATTACAAGACCTCTGGCAGCCTGACTTCATGAGAGTGGTGGCTGGACACAAAGAAGTAGAGCACTAGGTAGAAATGATGAATATTCATAAATTCACGTGAAAGTGTCCTAAAGCAGCTGGAGCATATTAATGAGTATTTCTGTTATGGAGGGAGGACTATTATGGAGATTTACTGTCAGCATCAATGCAATACATGAGAGAATAAAAATGTCTGGCTGGGCTTAGGAAGGAGAGCATAAATTATCCATAGGAACACATAACATTAAGCAATGCGGCCTTGATACAACTCTGTCTTTATAATCCCTTTTATGAAGAAGTCAGTTAGCTCTCAACTTGCATCTAGACTGCCTGGCACCCTGTGAATTTGTCTGGACTCAAAGGACGCTTCTGAAAATGTTAGATTGTGCTGGTATGGCTTTGTAAGGGGTGGGAGAGATGTGACCCTGAAAATTGTGTGTTGTTCCTATCATATTGGCAGTGTGTATGTGAAACTTGATCTTAGCTTGCCTGGGTTTGCTGTACTTGTACAGAATCCAGATTTACAGATGTTGCATGGATGTTCTGATCCAGGGCAATGTCCTTGGTTTAGGTTTTGTGGTGTGCTCTTTCATATTGGGTAAGTAAAGGATACTCAGTGGAGTTCTGCTCTACTGATATGTGGTAGGTGTGAGAGTGAGGCTGGAATATGTGTGTGTCAGGCACTTATAGGACTGGTTTTCTTTTTCTCATACAGGATTATACTGGCAGAACTTACATTACAGCTTCTGTTTGTACAACTCTGATTTAAAATTGGTTATTCTTTAGTCGTCACTCTTTAAAGCTCCCAAGAATGGATCATATAAGAACTTCAGAAAAACAAAATGCATTTCCAGATATCTAATAAAGTCTATGAATGTTAATTCAGTGCTAACAGACTTTTATTACTGGCTGTACAACAGGCAATAAACCTTCTGCAAGCTTCTGTACTAGGATACAGACATGAGCCACAATGTGGAGTGAGCATCTCTGTTCTGCACAGAGTAATGGGTAGGTGTGGTATTGCGCCGTTCCCTCCATTCAATGTCCTGTTGGTTACTGTAACTCCTGCTGAAGCAAAAAACAAAAACAACAATGGATTGTGGGTGCTTTGAGAAATGACAGAGCTGCCTCTGGGCTGTGAAGGTGGAGCTGTTCTGTGGCAGCAGATAATCGATGGCAAGAAGAGTGCGATAGAAGCAGACACATGGGATCTATGTAACCAAATAGTAGGGAGGAGAAAAACCACAATACTGTTTCAACACACCATGTTATTAAGAAACCCTGATGGGGCTGCAAAAGAAAATGGGCTCATTCCATTTCCAAACAATAGACTGCAAAGGCTTTTGAACATCTGCTTTCTCACATCGCTGTAGTCAGCGTGTGGGAGAAGTCCTTTTGCCACTGACACAAACTGGTGTTGAGAAGATTCTCAAGAATGGTGGCTGCACTGTTTTATATCTGCTTACTCCTGTTTTTTTTACTCCTACTTTTCACTTCTCTTTTTGCTTTGTTTGGGAAGAGTAAACCTGTCAGGAGCCTTTGAAAAGCCAAGAAGAGAGTGGTTCAGTGGGCCTTGTGCAAGTCCTGATGCCTGGAGAAGGAGAACTTAGTAGGAAATATGTGGGAGGATTTTGTTATGAGATTTACTGACAGCTGTAGGAACCTTGGTGAGGAAAAATGGTTCAGTGCTCCTTAGCATGGTCATCTCTGAATGAGTGTGGTGGGCCCCTGCTGGTGAGATCCTCTAGCACTGGGCATGATAACAGGTTTGAAGTTTTTTCTAACCTGTATGTGAGATAGGAAGGGTGGTGCCCTGATTAAGAACCAGGGAGCAAAAGGCATTTATGTTTCACGTGACGTGCCTGCAGTCACTGCAGTCTTAAATGGAAAGTATCCTAGAATGGCATGAATTAATCCTCAGAGCAGAAACCAAGGGTGATAATTCAGATGGGCACCTAAAAACACTGAAATAGATTTGAGTCAATTTACGAGTAGATATCATCATGGACCCAGAGAGGGAAGCCTGCAGCCTGTTCAGGTTAGCTGTGCTTATCAGAGGCAGAAGTGTTAACTGTGGTCTGGGACAGATACCTGCCTGGCAGATTTTAGGTAGTGGTGTAAATGCAGCAAAGAGGGAAGTTGCATTGTGCTCGTTCCCAGCTGCCCAAGATGAGATTGCAGGTACCGCACTGGAGAATTGTGTATGTGGAGTCTGTTGAGATGACCGGAAGGATCAAAAAGTCCCACAAACAAACCCTGTGCAGAAAGGGAATCAAAGCACTTGATGATGTTTCTTTTTGTTTTTTTATTTTTCCCTTCCTTAAATCTTCATTAACAAATTTGATCACGTAATCTTTCTCATCACAGTTAATACATGAAACAGTGTGGTAAGAATTCAGGAGTGAAATCAAACAAGGAAAGGACAAGCCAAAGAGCATTTGTAATTAGTTGTTTTCAAATCAGCTGGATGCAGCGTAGGTTGTTCTAGGTGACTTAGCTGACGAGCAGCCTGCAAACCATTTGTGCTTTGGTTACAGTGTGTAGGAAGGATGAGTGGTGTGGCTGGAAACAGGAAGGCAGTGATACCAGCCTTTTAGTGGAGGGGGAAAAAAAAGCTGGAGAGAAAATAGATCTAGAAACTTCCAATTTATCTGCAATCTCAGGAAAAAACCCTAGCGCAAATAATCAAGTGTCTGGAACATAATAAAGCTGTAAGGCAACATGAATTTAATTTGGCAAATTTTATCTCTATGAGATTGTAAAGGCTTTTGTGTGTAAGGGAGAAGTTGCAGAAGTGATCACTTTAGTATGGCTGTTGGTAGCTTCCAGATAAGGCAGGGGCATCCAGCCTAAATAAAATGATTCTGAGAGAGGGACCCAAGCTGGTGAAAAGCTGCACTCAGGAAGTGGCATGCGGACAATAGCTTGTTCTTGGTCTGGCAGAGCTTATCAGTTTAGGTGTGCAGTACCTGTCCTATGTCAATTATTTTTTTTATTAATGGTGTGGATAAGACTAATTGTTTGCTAATGAATGTGCTTTGCACTTCAAGCTGAACAAAGTGACAAGGCTTTGTAAGATTGAACTGGGATTCAGAGTGATTTTGGGGAGTAGGAGGTGGATTGGAACAAACAGGTGTTATTTTAGTAAGGACAGTTGCAGAGAATGATTTTGGGAATCTTCAACTGTGAGGATACACGACGGAGAACGAGAGGCTGGTTTTGCAGAGAAGGATCCGATTTTATGTATTTATTTTTAAAGACATTCAATGTGAGTCAGCAGGGCCAACAACACACTGGGTTGGGTTGCAAAAATATAGTTGGATTGAAAAGATAATTAGTGTTTGTATTGGAGTGGTGGGATCAAGTAAAGGGCTACAAGTGAAAAGAGAACAAAAGGAAAGCAAGAAACGTCGCCCAAGGTCTAGAAAACATGACTTATGGCAAAGCTTGGGGAGGGAGGGCTATAATAATAATAGTAAATGTGGGTTTACTTTGTCATGTTTGCAGAGGAGAGGTTGATTACAGATTGTGTATGTATAAATGTCTGTTGCAAGAGGAGAGTTAATAAATGGTCTCCATGTCCACCACGGATAGCAGAAATAGCTTGTCATTTAAATTGCAAAAAGAAAGATTTAGTTTAAATATTTAAACATTAGGGGAGCTTCTTAGATGTGAGGTTAAGCATAGGATGGATTTACTGGTGGCTTCCCAAGCCTTTGAGAACCCAGTTCAAAGTAGGTTGGAAAATTATCAGTGAGGAGCGATTTAGGTTTGGCTTGTGCTACCTTGGGGCAGAATGGTGGCTTAGGGATTTTCTGAAGACTGTCTCCAATGCAAATGCAGTTTTTGAGGCTGTGGTTTAACTCAGGCTTGTTAAGAGAGGCAGAAAGGCTCTGGGTGGTTGTTGAACTGGGTCATCCACAAACTCTGTGGCCTGTGTTGCAAACATGAAGGAAAAAGAAAACTTTGAGTACTGCCCAGGATTAGGCATGACAGGGTGGTGGTGTTGGATGCGGAGATCCTCAGGGGTCTGTTCACCTGGCTTTCTGTGCTCCATGAACTCACAGGAGTGCTGAGCACCCTCTTGTTCCACACTGAGGTGAGACCCGGGCTTGTTCTGCCCAGGAGCTGCCTGGGGGAGCAAGGCTGAGCTCTTGAGTTTGGAGAGCCAGTTCTGCAGGATGGCCCCTGGGCCCACCAGCCAACAGCTGGCCCTGGGCTTCCCACCTGGTCTTGTCCTTCCAGGGATGGCTGTGGTTCCTGCGTCCTGATGCTGAGAGCAGGAGCTGAACAAATGGGCTTGCCATGCTCCCTGCCAGGCTGAATTATCCTCCGATGCTATGTAAAGGAATGGGAGAGCAGCTGCTAGCCTGAGTGGGCAGCCAAAGAATAGCATTGTGACTTTGTTTTTGTTTTTGTTTTTTTTTAAGCAAGCTAAATGCCTCTCCTGGTCAATTTAAATCTATCTTAATAATCATGTAGCATCTTGAAGGGCTGTACTTGCAAGCAGAGCATATGTTAAATAGAAATCAGTATTTAAGTACTATGGATATTGCTGTGACAGATATATTGGGGCTAATTTGGCTGCTTATTTAGGCCGATTACTTTGAAGCCTCCCTCCCTGGCTGGGGAATCATTAACGTTATATCCAGCCTGACAGCTTGACTTGATGGCAGGGAGCTTGTGCAGGCAGCTGTTAGGAGAGCCAGTGCTGTGTGCTGTGGTGAGACGGTGACCCTGAGCCCAGCAGCCACAGGAATTGCCTTGCATTGCTGTGGGAGGATGAAGGGGCCCCATTGTGTCCCTGCCAGACCTGCTGCTTGGTGCTGGGTCTCCTGTCACTGATTGTGAGCGTGGTGGAGGCAGGCAGGCTGGCCCTGCTGTGCCCACTGTATGGCAGGCAGCACGTAAAGAGCAGTTGTTTACAAATGAAAAGATAATTTCTAGCCCGGAATCCCTGTGACAGGCGATAATAGCAGTGGAAGCTGTGCTGCCTTTTACACTGAACACAAGGTTTAGAACGCGTGAGATGGCTGAACTGGGAAGTGGGATAATAGATTAATGGTTTGAGATGCATATTCTCATCATCTTCTCTGGTAGAAATATTTCTCTTTTTATAATGCTCTCCTCAGAGAGGGCTAGAGGAGACTTCAAAATAGAAGTCATCCTTTGTTTTGGCTTTTAGCATTGTCTTGCTGCCATTGAACATCTCTTTTCTACCTCCTGGTAATTTTTTTAAAGAGTCCAGATTGTAACTAAATTTCATGGGCTTGCCGTGATCCCTGGGATGTGTCATTTCTTGCACTCCTGTAGGAAATCCTGCATTTGGGGCAGCCCAGAGGAGATGGGGAGCAGCAGGAAGGTAACTTGGCTTGCAGTGACGTGAGATATCTGTGCTGGCAGAGCTTGCTGCAGAGCAGACTTCAGTAAAACACCTGAAATTCCAGCCTGCATCTGTAGCCATCAGCTCAAAAAGGGACATAATTGCTGAGGGGATCAACTCGATGCAGGCATGTTCTGCAGTGCAGAGGGGATTGTGGTGCACAGGGAGCTCCTAATAGGCAGCCTGATGTGTGGAATGACATGTGCGACGCAGGAGTGCTGTTCTTCCAGCACTTCCAACAACAGCTGTCACCTGCTCACAAGGTGCTGCTGTGGTCATTGCACCCACCCAGCAGGAAGCCGTGTCCTCTGCATCCCCTGAGGCTCCTCCAGCCCCAGGGACCTGTGCAGTGACCCAAACAGAGCTCCCCGGGAACCTCAGACCACATCTAGCACCTGCAGAGATGAGAAATGGACATGTCTAGTTCCAAGAGTAAGAGAGAACTTTGTTCCAGCCATAAAGACTAAAAGCTTTTTGTCTCTGTCCTAGGTTGATGGAAACAGCAAGAGAAATGACCAGGGAATCCTTACCTATCAAATGCCTTGAAGCAGTCATCCTGGGGATGTATCCTTTCACGTGTCTGTCACTTCTTATTCGGCAGTGCTGTTGAATTTATCACCGGTCCTGGAGGGTGTCTGAGATCTGCAAAGCCAAAGGTGAGCATACACATTTTGGGGGCTGTCTGTGCTGTGGATTGGTGAGCTGTTGAGAAGTGTTAGGAAGAGCTGGGGAGGGTGCGTGCTGTTCACAAGCATCAGCTGGTGTTACAGCAGCCATGCTGCCTTTGCCTCCTGCCCCAGTAATTTGTGTAACATCAGGATCTGACCCACAAGTGTCTGTATGTACAATCCCTGCTTTGTTTAGTTGTTTGTTGCCTATTGCTGTTGAAGCTTGTTAACACATGAGAAGCATAGGTTCTGCTCTGTGTTTGTAATGTTTGCATACCAAAGTTGTGTTCACTTTTTGTTTCTCAGTCCACAGCTGTGGATTGTGCAGAAACAGGTGTGTACTATAGTTAAGCGCTTATGCTTTACCTTAATGTAATGGCTATTTCCTTCTCAGGTTGAGAAAATAACAAGGGTATTTTTATTTTGAGACCGACTCACTTTCTAACTCCCTTGTTCTCTCAATAGTAAACTAACTTGTTTGTCCCCAGATGCTGGAAAAGGGCAAGGCAGGCCTACAGGTACAGCTGTGCACTGGATGTACCTCAGCATAGCTGATCAAATTTGATTTCAAACAAAGAAAACCCAATCCCAATGCAGAGTGGCTTCTGGCGTGTCTCTGCCGCGTTCTGCTTGCTGCTGCTGCCCCCTCTCGTGGCAGAAGGAATTGGCATGTGCTGTAGTGCCCGGTGCTAGCGAGGGGGTGTCTGAGAGCTGCACCCCTGTGTGCTGCTGCCTCCTCCTGCCTTATCAGGGCCTGCTGGTGGCTTGGGAGTCCTGAGGGCTTGGTGGCAGCAGGAGGCTCGCGCTGACACCAATGTGTGCTTAGCCATGTGTCAGGACTTTGTTTTGTATTATTTGGAGAACAAAGTGGGGAGGAAATCCCCAGGAGGAACTGATGCTGCTCAGCAGTACTGGTAAGTGTCAGTGTGTCTTCTGGTGCTGTATTTCTAGTACTGAACCACATAGCATTCAAACAGAGGGTGAGAACACTGATGACATAAAGATGACCTAAGAGTCATGGTTGACAGTGGAAAAGTTTTGACCATTTTATTTTTGATTTCTGAAAATGCCTTTTTTTCCAAAGTATTTTACCTGCTTTCCTCAAGTCTGATCTTTTTTTTTTTTTTTTTTTTTTTTTTTTTTTTTTTT